AATTTTAGGAGAAAAATTATAGGTGGCCTAAATTTCCTCAGGGATTTTTTCCGAAAGGGGGCTTCCTAAGGCCACGTTCTAAGTTTGTCAGATACCGTAAGAGGTCCCAGTAAGCTTTTTAACACCCATTTTAAAACCAGAATGAAAAACCTCAGCAAATTTTTAATATGCCTGCACATTTTTTCTTATTTTATTTGAGGAATGGATTGAGGTTTCCCTGGCCCGGTTATATTTTTAAACTGCTACAATATCAAGTAAAACAATCATGGCTACATCCACTGAGTTTGTTTCATTTTGTAATATTATATAAAACCAGTTTTATCTCAAAAAAAGGAAAGAAACAAAAATAGTATAATCTGACAGCTTGCCCTTCCAAAGAGCTAAGGTTCTTAATGAGGAAGGAAGGGAACCATTTTGGAACTAGCAACAGGAGCCACTTCTGAAGATCTCCTCCCAGCAATTCCAATCCCCCTCTCGGTTCCCATCTGCAGTTCCCCCAGCTTTGTGACTGAAGCTGCTAACTATCAATATGTATTTTCTCCGTTGTTTTTTTTAATGCCCAACCAGGTGCCATTGAGTTGATTCCGAATCATGGCAACCCCATGTATGTCAGAGTAGAACTGTGCTCCACAGGGTTTTCCATGTCTTGTTATTTCAGAAGTAAATCACTGAGGCTTTCTTCCCAGGTGCCTCTGGGTGGACTTGAACCTCCAACCTTTTGGTTAGCAGCCAAGCGTGTTAACCGTTTGTACCACACAGGACTCCTCTTTGCTGTCAGAGCCCCAATTTTAGCGACAATGTGCCTTGCTTAATAGAACAACATTTCTCAGCCTCGTTTGCAAATGCTCCAGGAAGGCCACGTGTTTCAGTCCTGTCCAATGAAATGCAGGCAGAATTGTCAGTGGGGCTTCTAAGAATGCACTTTTTAAGAGAACACTGGCCCCTTCTGTCCTTTGTCTCTCCCCTTCTTCCTGCCTGGAATCCTGATAACATCATGGAGTCCCCATACCAACCTTGGACTCCCTGCCTCCTGACTTCTTCCACTGGAAAGAAAAACGAATAGCTGACTTGCTTAAGGCACCATTGTTCAGATTTCCTTGTATGCGAAGCCAAGTCAAGCTCTAACAATACAGGCTGTGGACACAGCCCTCCACCTTCTGAGAATAGGCCCACCTCTCCTGAGGAAGGCTCCTGGGTGTGGTTTTGGTAGTTACGGCCCTTCCCTTCTCTGCCCATTCAGGCAGCCCCCCGCCATGCACTACACCTCTGACTTCCCCTTTCCACATCTCAGATTTGGCAATATTTGTCTTCCTGCCAGGAAGGACGAGATGTTATTCGCCTTTGTCTTACACCTCATACCAGCAGAGAACAAGGCTGTGCATACAATAGACACTCAATGTTTGCTACATGAAACAAGTGAAAACCTGAAATTTAATATCCCAGGTGGGAAAAGCTCCCTTGCAATTGCCTAATGACCTTTTTGGCCCTTGTCAAGAATACAGTCTTCCTTTTATTTAAACATTCAAAGTTGTCTGCACCTGACCTTGCACCTGACTGTTAAAGGTCATGAGTGGTCCCTAATTTCATCCAAGCCCCTGCCTTCTCCAAACCAGCTGGAACTGAGGAGGATGAGAAACTGAAAGTGAAGTCGGTCAAGCACCAAAACATGAAAACAAAGTGACCCAGAGCCTGAAGAGGGCAGAAGACATGCCGGCAGCTCCAGGGGACTGTCAGCCAGGCCAGGGTTCCTCCTGGGGAGCTTTTTGTTTGAATTCATGTACAGTTTTCTTTTGTGGAAGAGCATTCCATTCAGCTCCTGAACGGCAAGTACCACTTTCTGCACAGAGCCCAGCTCTACAAAAGCGAAGCTAAAGAGGAAAGGGAGGCTGCTGTGAGGGTTCTCCAAAGCCCTGAGTGGCAGGGAGGCCACCAGGCCTGAGCCCTAAGAAGTCTCCTGTCGCTTTTCTGCCACCGCAGAAGGGGGGCCATTCCAAATCACCAACAAGCCAAAATTATGCCAGACTGGGGATTGGGCTGGGCAGTAAGAGAGAATGTCCAGGGCCTCCAGGGACAGAAGGAATGAGTGGATGCTGTCACTACATGACATGTGTCTACAGTTTTGGGGTTTCTTTTGTTTGTTTACATTGTTGCGCAATTCAAGTTAGTCTCTCATACAAAAATTTATATACACATTGCCATGTGACCCTAGTTGCTCTCCCTATACTGTGACAGCGCACGCCTCCTTTCCACCCCTGATTTCTGTGTCCATTCAACCAGCTCCTGACCCTCTCTGCCTTCTCATCTCGCCTCCGGACAGGAGCTGCCCATTTAGTCTCATGGATCTACTTGAGCTAAGAAGCACACTCTTCACAAGTATCATTTTATGTCCCATAGTCCAGTCTAATCTTTGAAGAGTTGGCCTCGGGAATGGTTTTAGTTTTGGGCTAACAGAGAGTCTGGGGGCCATGATTTCTGGGGTTCCTCCAGTCTTCGTCAGACCATTAAGTCTAGTCTTTTTAAGCTTTGGGTTTCTTTAACACTGTTGTTGTTAGCTGACTGCTATGGTGACCCCATGTACAATGGGATCGTTGTGATCCATCCGTTTTTCATTGGCTGATTTTTTGGAAGTAGATCACCAGGCCTTTTTTCCTAGTCTTAGTCTGATAGCGTCGCTGAAACCTGTTCAGCATCATAAGCAGCATGCAAGCCTCCACTGACAGACAGGTGGCGGGTGCTTTGGCCAGGAATTGAAGCTGGGTCTCCCGCATGGAAGGCGAGAATTGTACCACTGAACTGCCAATGCCCCGCTCTTTAACACTACTACCCCCAAAAGTTCAAAGCACTTTTACTGCCTTGAAAATAAGAAAAGGAAAATACAGGTAAGTCCATTTTTCAGGGGCAGCAAAGGCAGAGGGAGATGTGGTAACTCACCCAAAGAGAGGACAGAGCAGGACCCGAACCAAAAATAAACCTCAGTCTCAGGACTTCTAATCCAGGGTTGTATTGACCAGACAGTGTTAGCTGCCGAGTCAGAGGGTTAAATACGGAAAGGGGGTTTCCCAAGCGTCACTTTGCCAAATCAGAGGGTGTGGACTCGGGAGTTGTTGGGCTAGGCTGCAACATCAGTGCATCAGCAAAACCGAGAAAGAGGAAAGCAGTTGCTTCCCAAAGAAAACAAAGGAAGAACAGTCATTACCATTTGCAGCCATTCTGGATTTTGTGGACACGGAGAGGGCTGAAGTCCTTTAGAAAATTCAGAATTTCCACCTACAGTGACAAGGTTTAAACGAGAGAGAAGCTGAGGGGCATCATTTACAACCAGTTCTCAACGCTTTAGATCCCCAGACAGCTAATCTGTACTCAATTTAACACACTATTAATGAGAATCTATTATGTGCTATGTGTGCCAGGTTTTGTGCTGGGTGCTGCAGATATAAAGACAGGCAGGGAAGATACAGCTGTCGAGTGGAGATACAGATGAGACAGTCAGGGAAACAGGCCCGTTCATCATGGCGATAAATTTCACAATCAGGAAGTACAGACGGCTCTGGGAGCTCAGCATGGTTATCTAATCCAGATTTGAAGGGAAGGGAGGTGGTCAAGGTGGGCTTCCAGGAGGAGGTGACTTTTCATCTACTAGCTATCCTGCCTACCTCTTGTCACCTTTTCATCACTGCTCGGGAGCAGGGGCAGGCTTGCTTTAACCTACCCTATTCTGGAGGAGTCTCTGGGTGGCACTAACAGTTTTAGCGAAAGGTTTGCCATTCAAACCCACCTAGATGAGCCTTGGAAGAAAGTCCTGGCGATCTGCTTCGGAAAGGTCACAGACTTGAAAACCCTGTTCTAGTCTGCAACACCCACGAGTGGAAACCCGCTCAACAGCAACTGGTTTGGTTTACTAGAGAAGGCTGCCTGCCCATGCTGACTCAGTCTCATGACTGCCTCTTGCCAGCCTCCTATCCACTATTCACATCTGCCAGGCTTTCTTTGCAAGTCTCCCTCCCCACTGTTTCTCAACAGTAGCCTAGCCTCCACTGCCCAGGGATATGGCCACCTTCCCCATCCCAGGACATGTTTCCACACCCATTCTCAGTTCCTGCTCCTCGCCTTCCCCTGGGCTGGCTCCCTCACTGTGGACCCCACCCTGCTGGGCTGGGCTCCTGTCCCCACACATGTGCGTCCTCCCCCGCTTGGAGATATCTTCTACAGAACGCTGATGCCCTTCTGAGCTCCGCCCTATCTTTCTCTTTTCTGTCAAACCTGTAGAAAGAGCCATCTGGCCAAATGCCTTGACTTCCTCTCCGCCCAGTGCCGTCTGGCTGCCTGCCTTTGGCTTCTGTTCCTGTCCCCACTGAAAATGCTTCCTGGAAGGTCACAGAGGCGCCCCGTGCTGCCACTAGGATGCCTTTTCTTCAGACCTCGGTGCTTTCAACGGCTACTTGCATCTCTCCACGCTTCCTCCTGCCTTAGCTTCCCCGCGAACACATTACGGCTGTAAAATTTCACAACCACGATGAAGACAGATTCTTCCTCGGAAAACTCTACTTTGGAAAAATGTAGACTTATACTATCTTCTTTTAAAGGCAGTTTTTCCCTAATTTGAAGTCACTTTTGTTGGCCTAGGAAAGCAAAAATGCATCATGTATAACTCGTTTTTCTCCGTCTTCATGTTTATATTACATTTAAATTCAAATTTTCTAACTGGCTTGACTTTTAAATATTTAATGTGTATTACACGTGGATCTACAAGATGCTGAGCAACAAGCAATTTGTGAGAACAAGGAATACGTGCTTAGCGTTTTCAGTTTATGAAGCACTTTCACATGCATTACACTATTTGCTCCTCATAACCCCCCTGTTAGTATACATTCTTTTTGTCCCCACTGTACAGAGGCATAAAACAAGGATCCGAGAGGTTAAGTGACTTCTCTAAGATTACACAGACAACTTAAAGAGTGAGGCTTTGAACCCAGGCCTTCTAATTCCTTCAAATCCTGCATTCTTTTCATTGTATCATACAACATCATAGTTTTCTACTCAAGCTTTACCGTTATTATAGCAAAGCAGGAAACTAATATTTTTGTATGTTCTACAGCAGGAATGGAGTCTCTGGGTGGTAGAAATGATTAACGCGCTCGACTGATAACTGAAAGGTTGGAGAGTCGAGTCCACTCAGAGGTACCTCAGAAGAAATGCCTGCCAATCCACTTCTTAAAAATCAGCCATTGAAAACTCTACGGAGCACAGTTCTACTCTGAGACTCATGGGGTCGCCATGAGTTGGCGTCAACTTGATGGCAACTGGTATAGCCGGGGTCAGTAAATTACAGCTTTGATCAAATCCAGCCCGCTACCTTTTTCATAAAGTTTTATTTGAACACAGTCATGCACATTTGTTCATACACTGTGTATGGTGCCTTTCATGCTACAGTGGCAGAAAGGTTGCAACAGGGACCTATAAGGCCCACGAAGCCCAAAATATTCACTATCTGACCCTTTACAGAAAGAGTTTGCAGACCCTTGTTGGACAGCAATGGATCTCAATTTCCCAACTCTGGCTGCAAATGAGACTCAGCTGGAGAGTTGCTGTGTTTTTTGTTTGGTTGGTTGGTTTGGTTTAATTGTCAATGCAATGCCTGACTGTGGTGCAGTGAATTACTTAACAGTGCCCTTGTAGTCATAGTCTTTGTGACTTCCACACAATGACTGGGTGGAACCATGCAAACAAGGTACATGGAACTCTAACACAGCATCATGGGTGGTGGTGTGTGTTGGCTTGGCTAGGCCATGATTCCCAGTATTGTGTGGCTGTCCTCCGTTTTGTGATCTGATGTAATTATCCTAATTATACTCCACTTTATATGTTGTAAATCCTAACCTTTATATGTTAGTGAGGCAAGATTAGTGTGGGATGTATCTTGAGTCACAGCCTTGTAGGAGGGCATGACTCAAGTCCCACCCTTATTCAAGTTACACCCTTTCCTGGGGTGTGGCTTGCATCCAATGGATATATGTGGATACTCTGGTAGGGCTCTCTCTCTCTATGCATCTGGATCCTGTGTACAGCTGGTCATTGTCTGACCTCCAGTTCTTGGGACTTGAACCAGTGGCCTGCGGTCTGACCTGCCGATTCTGGGATTCACCAGCTTCCGCAGCCCCGTGGGCTAACAGCCTATCATCTGACCTGATTCAACAGCTTCCGCAGCCTCGTGAGCCAGCAGCCTGTCGTCAGGCCTGCTGATTTGTGTTCATTAGCCCCTGCATCACGAGTCAGGAGAAGCCTACGCTTGACCCACAGATTTGGGACTTGCCACCTTCCAAAACCTCGTGAGCCATTTCCTTGATACTGTTCATGAGTTTTGTGAGAGCTTGCAGAGAATTATGGAAGCCAAAGACAGGAGGGAGAGTACTGAGGGGAGGGGGAGTAGTTGATGTCACAGATGATGGAGTGGGACAGCAGAGTGAAAAAGTTGGACATTTGGGATATCTTTAACCTCCACCTCATAGGAACCAACTTTGTGCTGATCCCTATAAAAGAAATTATTCATTTACTGACCCACCCCAGAAGAATAAAATCAGGATCTCTGGGGCTGGGACTAAAGCATCAATATTGTTTTAAAGCTGCCCAGATGATTTTAATGTGCAGCCAAGGTCAAAAACTACTGTTGCATAGTATCAAGCTGATTCAGAAAATACTAGTTTTCAGAAAATGTGCTTGAGGATGAGAGGACAGAAGGACACCCTCTGCCCACCCCACCCTTCAATACAAAATCACTGCCAACATCTTTCCTCCATGGAACTTACTCCAACCAGTCTTATCTGTGAGGTCATCTCATCAGCAGATGACATTACTCTTGAGCGTTATCATTAGGAATTCCTAAAATCTGAAGGCATGCCCTAATTGTGACCTTGTTCTGCCTCTTAATAGGTTAATTTGTTTATTTAAGAAATTTTTGATCCATTACAGCTTTGACAAGAGGCTCGGGACATTAAGTTGAAATTGCTCATGCCCCATGGGGAATCTTTTACATCTTTTAAATAATGAAAATAACTTACTAGGATTTTTTAAATAACAAAAGCATTAAATGTTTATTGTAGAAATATATTTTTAAAAAACACAGATAAGCAAAAGAGAAGTATCACTCATAATCGTACCGCCAAAACGTGCGTACTACACCTCTACCGTCAAGATTATGGGATCACGTGATACCTTATGCTTTGAAGCCTGCTTCACTTAATACTATATCCCTTTCAGTCAATCATCACCAACATTGTTTAAGGGCTCCAGAGCCTGCTATTCACTATGGCACAAGCATTTATGGAGCACTGACTCTGTGCCAGACAGGTAGGAGACTACTGTGGTCACCTACGTGCCAAACAATGTCACACCCATCAGATTGGCATGGATTTAGCAGTCGGACAGCACCAAGCATGGATGAGGCTGCAGGGACTTTTACGTTGCTGGTGGGAGCAGAAGTCAGTACCACCTCTTTGAGAGCAACCTAGCAACTCCTGATCAAGCTGAAGATGTGTGTACTGTGTGGTCCTGCAATCCCAAACCTGGGTGCAAGTCCTAGAGACACTCTCACACACGGACACACGTACAAGTCGGTTCACTGACGCTGTCTGGAGTAGCAACGACTTGGAAAATACTTATTTAAAGCAAGTGAAATGGATGTTTTTGCAGATAAAAAATAGTCGAATACCAGTAATTTCATATGGTTCAACCTAAGCACCTTATGTCTATTACAGGTAAACCTGCTGGGGTAGATTCCAATAAAGGAATATTATATAACAGCTAGAATTAATAACTAGAGCTGCAGATGCCACCTTGGGATATATTTTTTAAACATGAGGAATGCTAAAAGCAAACCACAGAAAAATATACCCAGAGGGGAGAGAGGGACCAACAGCTACCTCCCCTCACCTCAGCTCACGTCGGCTCTCTACTTCCTTCGGCACTCCCCCCAGGAAACAAAACAAAACCGTCACCGACAAGTCAATTCTGAGTCACGGTGACCCCATGGGTGTCAGAGTAGAACTGTGCTCCATTGGGTTTTCAATGGCTGATTTTTCACAAGGAGATCACCAGACCTTTCTTCTGAGGTGCCTCTGGGTAGACGCGAACCTCCAACCTTTTGGTTAGCAGCTGAGCGCGGTAACTGTTTGCACCACCCAGGGACTCTGTGGCACTCCGTAGAGCTTGTCATGACCCATGACTGTACAACCCCCAAACGGCAATCTCAAGTCCTGCACTCTCTGATCGTC